CTTAAACAGAGCGAGAACATTTTAGAAAAAAAGTGAGTGACGGTGGACCGTTATGGAGAGTGTGGACACAGGATACTGCAAACCAAACCTTTTGTTCACAAGGAGACAGCGTGGCCGGCATTGCACTTGACCGCATTCACTTTCACAACTGTAATGTTAGGTACCCATTTACAGATGTTGAACTAGAGTTGCCCTCGGTGATAACCAGTGACCCTTCAGACAGGAAGTAAGCTTGGTATCCACTCAACCGCCTTACCCTATAGATGGATAAATAAAGGAAACAAGGAACTATGCGTCTGACTAGTATGTGATGATCCGGAAAAATATAGCCGAGCTTACGTCCCTCTATACATTACCTTGCATGTGTAGTAATCAATATTGAGAAAAATATGGCATTCTATTTTGAGTTACCGGCCCAGGTTCTTTTAATCTGGTCTTCTAAAGAGCACTGTCTGTATTCGTTGGTTGAGGGATATGTTTTGTCCTCTACCGGTGGGAGATATTAATGGCCTTGTTAGATAAAATCAAAATTGGTTAAGGGTGAACCAAATTTATCTACTGAAAGAACGAGAGGGGGAAGTCGAGTACCCTCGGGCCTAGACCACCCCTGGGAAAACTACCCGGTGGTCTCAATGAAAAGCGAACCACGATACACTAGGTCGACTGTACGTAGAACCTCGGGGACCTACCTTATGCTGTACATAAAATTCAGACATAACGAGAAGATGGATATAAAAAAAGTGATGACATAGTTTTGGCGTTTTAAGATCCGGTATTAGGAATATATGGAAATTGAATAATATTGTAATAAGACCAAATATACCACTTTTATTTCTCAACAGGTTACACAATAAGATTTTTCCCATTGTATTTAGTTTAATAATCGGCGAGTCTAAGTTAGGGATTTAAGTGGAGCTGCCAGACCAATGGTGTGCACAAACTGTACAACTTCTTGAAGAGGATAATTTCGTCAGCCCGGTGATTCAAAACCCATTGTATATTATTCAGTCAATAGATGAATAAAAAAAAAAGAGCTATTGAGAATCGCAAAGTATCCCTGCCCAGCATTTACGGCAAATTTAATGACAATTTATGACACCGCTGCCCGTCTAACAACGAAGGTTTTATTCATCTCCTTAACGATATATCGATTTTGCAATAGAATTAATAATTATCAATTACCTCCCACAATAAGTACGGATGACATAAATCACTCTGAATAGAATTTTACTTTGGACATTTATGTAGTTATCGACACGTAGAATATGTGTTTGCTTCCTAATTCAAGTTATCATTTGGCTATTATTTGAGTTAATGTATTATAGGATAGTTATGGTAATTTGGAACTTAATTTTGAGAGTAAGTACACACCCCAACACACACACATCTCACCTTTACAACGTACACCTCGTTACACCTCTTGCCTACTTCACTGTTTTCTTCTTGGTGAAATAATTGGTTGGAAATTGTTAAATAGTGTCTCATGTTTTAATGTACTAGTATATAATTAGCCACATAATGAGACGGTACAGATAAATTTACTCAGTTTATTAATAAGATCCCGCGTGGATCTTTTGGTGTCTGTCCGGAAAAGCAAAATTGTAATAGATTTTTTCATTGCTCAGTAACTGATAACCATGATGATTGTCGCGACGTAGGAAAATTGCGCCTCGATACAGTGACAAAAAGTGTGTGTTCGTGTCTATAAGAGGAGAAAAGGAAAGTGTTTCCAATAGATAACAGGAAATAAGTCTTGCCAAAACATCTGTAAAATGTATGATAGAAGTTTGAATGATGAAGCGAATGAATTGTTAGATAGTATACCTTCTTTGAAACCGCGACAGTGAGATAAGGGAATTATTCTACTGTATATTTACAAATTTTCCGATATTATGCTACACAGTACAGTAGATGGGACTAACTGTCTGGAAAGTTGTGGTTATTGGTGGTAGGGAGTTAACACTGTTGGATACTGAACATTAGCTATACCCTAAATGACTCTACTACTGCCACTACTACTGTTTTTTTTTAATTGTGGCCCTCCAGCCTCTCCCAATAGCCACGCTGCATTTAGTGACTGTTGCCGCATAGTCAATTTCTGCGACCGTTGTCGGCTTTGGGGTCGAAGATCTTGTTACCCTGAGGCAAAACAATGCAGACTTAAGCAGAGAGAAGGACAGTCAGCATCTCAACCAGGCTGTAACGTAACTTCTGGGCTGCTGCTTCTGTTCAGATAACACCTCGGCCAGTCTTGCATAGAAACATCTTGCACTTGATTCCATCCCACCAGAGGTTGTAAACACCAGAGGAGTGAAGCTGCCTTGATCCACATTCTGAATTCTCTGCGCTTACGCCCTAATCTTGTCGTTCTCGTTCCTCTTGTGTGCAGCCTTAAGAGGAACTGGCCAACCATATTGGCTTAGAGCAATGGCATCTGTAAATTTTTGTTTATCAAGGCTACTACTACGAAAGTTGTTGCTGCATTTCTGTTCAATCACCAAATTTACTTCTTGTACGAAATATCACTTACGCGACGAGAGAAGCATCATCTCTGATCATTACACCATTAGTATGGTGCAGTATAGTATATTGTTGCAGAAATACAAAAAACGCATATCGTCATGGCTCAGGTTTAGCCCAAAGTTGACATGAAGAGCATACCCACAGTTCCACACACACTATGGCAGACAAGATGCAATAATGTTTTATATGTTTATCTCAATAACACTACAACCAAATGTAAAGTATCAGAATTCAGAGATAAATTATTTCTTACTTAACACAACAGTATGGCGGTACAGCTGTCCCCTATCCAGTGTCAAGCGTGCACAGAGACCTCCCTCTCCCCTTCGTCTCCTTACATCACATCACCTCTGGGGAGTCGTAACAAAAAATACAGAACCTGTGCCTCTTGTATTTTTGTGGTTACGACTCCCCAGACGCACGGGAGCCAACTTTACACTGCATACTATACACACACCATGGTGCTACATCTGGCACCCGCACAACTACCATTTGTCTAACAATGATGAAGGACGAGAGTTAAAATTATAACCAAACACGAAATGCTTGCAACAGGTGGAATTGCTACTGACTGATTTACCATTGTTATTCACACGTTAATATTATTTATAATAAACGTAGTTTGTCAACTTCCTTGTTATGTGTTTATTGTAAATTACGTTATATTAACAATTAAATGCTTATGTAAATAGTTATGAAAATAGAATCAAATATATCCGTTTGGGTCATGAAAGTCACCCAGTCATAAAAGAACACCATATTGAGAGACTCCACCCTCCCCCCATCACCCCTAGATTACGTGAGGGTTGCATGAGAAAAAAAATATACATAGAATTGCTCAGACCTGAAGCACAAACTGGAAATTCCACGCTAATGTGTGGCAACACATTCTAAGCATAATTTGTATTTTTCCCTTCATATTTATATCTTTGCTTAATGAATGTTGCCTTGTAACTTCACAGGTAACTCCCCCGAACTCCCTACCCACCTCAACCCACATAACCCGTCCCCGTCTCCCCCTCACTCGTAAATGCTTCGGATTCACGAGTCCATACTCTCGGGGTGTACTAGTTGGAAATGTATATTTAAGAGCTGTGTGTGGTTGTGAGGTTAAGCTGTGAGATTAAGCTGTGAAGAAAAACAATAAGGTTAAGCTGTGAAAATAAACAATAGGGTTAAGCTGTGAAAATGAATGATATGGTTAAGCTGTGGGGTTAAGCTATGAGGTTAAGCTGTGCGGTTTAGATGTGAAGTTAAACTGTAAGGTTAAGCTATGAGGTTAAGCTGTGAGGTTAAGCCATGAGGTTCACGTAAAGGAAAGGACCAGAAGGAGGGTGAACAGGCGGAACGGGGAATAAATCTTGCGAGGACAATCATATCAAAAGCAAGTCTACGGACTTGGCGCACCCTCATTCAACTACCACAAATCAAATTAGTGTCCTAATTGTTTACATTAAGACAGTTATAGGGTGTATTAAAAATGTGTTTGAAGGCTAATTTATCGTACCAATGTTGACAACTAATGTTCGAAATGGAAGTAGTTCTCACTTAACAGAAAGCAATACCCAATGTGTGAAAATATTGGCCAATTATCCAGTTATATTTCCAATTTATAACTTGATTTCAGTTGTTTTATCACCTTTAATCTAAAATAAACATAACTCGTGACATAAGAAAATAAAACAATAGAATATCAAGTGAATTATCAGTATAAAGGTTCAGAAAACATAAATACAACTTCTGGAATCTATTTCCTAGACTTCCTCGTGGTGACCTGACGGACTGGCTCTGGGGGCTGACCTTGGCTTAACTGCTTGGGTGGGATTACTACTAATGCTTGTTGGGTTGGGGGTTGGGTTGACGTGTTAGGTTGGTGTGTGGTATATTAGCTTGGTGATCCTGGAAAGTGAGGACTAGCGACATCTTCAGAAGGGTGAGGGGATGACGCCAAGAATCACAGACTAGATTAGGTTGGGTTGGGTTGTGTTGTTCCTGGAAAGTGAGGACTAGCGACATCTTCAGAAGGGTGAGGGGATGACGCCAAGAATCCCTCCGTATAAACCTTCAGGAGCTCACATTAGTAAATAGACTGTGAATGTAGACGAGAACAACTAAAAACAAAAGTTAAATATTTTAATTACAAGCGACAGAGTACAAAAAACAACACCCCCACACACACAAAAAAAAAACACACCCCAGTCTTAAAAGTTGTGTTTGGCAAAGTCCCGCCTGAGAACTTGTGGCCTAATATATTCCCGGCTGAGCCTTACTAACACCACCACCACCACCACACATATCTCTCTCCTCACCCCGCCACCATCACCCACCCTACTCACCACTCATCCCACCATCACCTCAGCGATTCCATACATATTTTGTAGTGTTTAAAGATAGAGGTAATTATTATCAATCTCCTACCTGTTTTTCTGGAAATTTTGAGCTAATAAGTAAATCTTTTATCATTCTTCTTTTCTCTTTACAGGTAAATTATGTTGGATTGACTTGAGGTAATAAATCTCAGCTTCATCCTGCCTCTACTGCAACGACTGCTGCTGCCAGGTAACTTGTTATTTCTTTCCACCCTTGATGTCATGAACGTGTTACTGCTTCTTCTTGTGACTGTACTGGTCGTTCCAGCTCTTGTTTCCTAATATATTATTGATTGTATCTGTACTTGGTAAAAATTCTTATTGATGCTATGAGGTAAAATAATTTGGTCCTGTTATTGTTTGAGGTTATTACTTTTGTTGTCACATGTTATCTTATTCTCTCGTCCCATCGTGTTGGTCCTTCGTTTGGTGGATACAAGTTTTATCTTATTGGTCGCCCTTGTTCCTGTGAGATAAATTATGAGTCCTTCCCTTTGCTGCAACGACCTTAAGTTACAGCTCCATCTTGTTGTGTCGGGACAAGTTATGACGCGTTCCTGCTGCTGCACCGAAATAACTTATTAGCCTCTTCTGCTGGCGTGCCACACATCATGGGTCTCAGGACCGACCTCATTAATGATCAAGTCATTTATTGTCTGGACTTCACCGAGCTAATTACGTGCTTGTCTTGCCCACGGCCCAAGCGATCTGCTGCCCCTCATTACGGCCTTCTGGTTTCCATTCCCTTTTGAGAATCGTAAAGTGTTGTGGTGTTTACGTTGTAGCTTACCTGAATAATGAATTGGAATTTAAGTATAGGTTATATTCTCTCTCTCTCTCTCTCTCTCTCTCCACACATACCGGAACAGGAAGTGACGTCGCCGAATAATATTTTGACGGCCAACGGATCTGTTTTATTTTTCACTGTAAAATAAATTTATCCCAAGAAAGTGAGAGTTTGTCCTCGTGTTAGGCTTCCAAGCAATCCGAGTTGAAGGTAAGTAACCCATGATACAAGCAATATAAACAAATTTATCTCATGGTCATATATAGACCATCAAATCGGTACATAATACAAATTTTAAGTTTTGTTTGTTTACACGTTCATTAATCTTATCAATAAATGAAAACATTGTATTCATTCCTTAGTTGACTTTCATTAATTAAATTCCCACAAGTAACTAATTAAAGACTATAGAACCATTAATTATTTTTTTATCAAACGTGTATGATTTTTTTTCCACCTCTTGGTCAACAAATTTAAGGCTGAAGTAGATAGTTAGTTGTCTGTATAGCTCTGAGTTATCTTATGTACCAAAAATTAAGACATAAATGAGCTAATAACGAGCACATTATAATAAGCCTTACCGAAGAGGAGTACTTCCTACGCGGGTTACCACACTACACTAACTCAAAACTACACTTATTTAGATAATAAGCTTGACATTAGCTATCTTTTAAATGAGGGTCGTATTAATGTGCATAGAAATATCAGGGATTTTTTCTCTGTAACGACTATAACCATTTAGGGAAGGGCGGAGGGAGAGAAGGAAGGAAGGATGGTGGGTGGTAAATAAGGAAGGAAGGAAGGTGGGTGGTAAAGAAGGAAGGAAGGAAGGAAGGAGGGAGACACGCGTAGGAGGGAAGGAAGCCCCGTCCCCTTTAAGTGTACTGCAGCTGGTTCATTATTAACGTAATAATAAGAAGTCTGTTGGTAATTTGTTGGAGCTGTGTAAAAACGGCAGCGAGAGGGGTTTTTTTTTCCTGCCCCCAACAGAGGAAGGGAGGATGGAGCGAGGGAAACAAGGGCTAATGTAGGATGATGAAAGGAAAAATGGATAAAGAGAGATGGCAATGAAAGTGACTGGCAATGAGATCATATGAGAAAGATGAACAGAGACAAGAGATAATAAAATATGTATATTGACTGACGGATAAACAACAGTAAATAAAAATGAATAAAATTTAATAGTTATTTTTTTCTTCATAATATTTCACACTACTTCATACATCAAAAACCCAACAGGATTCTCTTTAAGATTAACTACCGCACTGTGAAATTGAAAACATTGAAATCTCTGGCTTTACAATGACACTCTACTCTGACTGACACAATGTTTAGAATTCCTCCACATCTCAACCTCAGGAAACTAGATACGACATCACTATTGATACACCACATCCGGGTCTCTCTCTCTCTCTCTCTCTCTCTCTCTCTCTCACACACACACACACACACACACACACACTCCTTCATAATCAGCGCCTCTCCTCTTGTCACCACCTGCATCTCAGCCTCCTCCCTTCCTTCCACCCCCCTCACCTCCTTCAGAAGGGACCCTAATCCGCTACCGCCCCTCCCTCCTCCTCTACCGCCCAGTCTCCGCACAACACCCCCTTCCCCCCTTTCCTCTCTCCTCTTCCATCACCTGCCAGAGACCCCACCCTACCCCACCGACCCCTCCCACCCCTCCCACCTGAGCATACCCCACCTGTCTCCCAGTAATTATTTCCTCAAGTTATTAGCAAATGAGGTTTATGGGACACGGGATGTCTGTTGCAGGTGTTGGTGTTGATGGTGGTGGTGATGTGTGTTGGTGGTGATGATTGGTGATTGTGTTGTTGTTGGTGGTGGTGGTGATGATTGGTGATTGCGTTGTTGTTGTTGGTGGTGGTGGTGATGATTGGTGATTGTATTGTTGTTGGTGTTGATGGTGGTGGTGATGATTGGTGATTGGTGATTGTATTGTTGTTGGTGTTGATGGTGGTGGTGATGATTGGTGATTGTATTGTTGTTGTTGGTGGTGATGTATGTTGTTGTTGTTGTTGTTGATCTTGTTGTTAGTGTATACTGCTATTATTTAGTTGAAGAAATTATTATTAGTGATATGTTTTAATATAAATCGGTGTTTGTGCATTTAATTATACGTAGTTAGAGTATAATGCGTCTGATGCTGTAGAGGAAAGGTGTGTTGTATTTAAATTATGTTATTGGTCCATAAGATGTATTTCTGAACACAGGTGTAGGTTTAATTACTGTATATAGGTGTGTTGTGTATTCAGGCACAGGTATAACTAGCGGGTAGGTGAGTCGGTGTACCCTACCAGTGGTGCATTCGACTGTGTCTACTGAAACATTAAGTAGAATTGTGAAGTGAATGCCATCCTGTTTTTGTTTGTGTTTAGAAATAAGTTGAGTAAGTTTGAGGTAAATAACGCTTATCTTTGGCTGCACGGAATTTAATTTCATCGTATCGCCAATCCCATTAAAACAAACTGGCGGAGCACACATTGCAGCAGCTCCTGAGGCCGATAACTTGTACCGCCCACTAAAACTCCACACCACGCTACTGATACTCTGTGTGTGTGTGTGTGTGTGTGTGTGTGTGTGTGTGTGTGTGTGTGTGTGTGTGTGTGTGTGTGTGCGCGCCCGCAAAAAGTGATTTTAATTATTATTAGAAATATTACAAATACAAATGTATATAACATCGACGAAATGTAAATAATCGCAGAAAAATATATGCTTAAACCAAACATGTTTAAGGACGTACTGCTAGTGCTGCATGACCATCCTCTTATAGTTCTCCCTTGGTGTAGAGCTGCTCTGTAAGTTCCACCTTATTTTTTTTTATGAATGGCAACGAATATATATACCTTAACTATTATTAGAGTACAGTGAATTATGCATCACACTTATTATAGTACAGTGAATTATAGACCTTCCCTGTTATTAGCATCAACACATTATAGGCTATATCCGGTAGTGCCGTAGATCATGCCTCGGGCTCACATTAAGTTTAAACACCTTTTAATTTTCGTCAAACAGATGCCTTCGTCATTTTCGTTACATCGTGATATATTTCTTTGGTAAATGATGTTTTCTCGCAATAACACGAATATATTCCACAGTCTTTTTGGGGGATGATGAGATTTATTTCTTTGACCATGTTCACAAATACTACAGATTCCTCAAAATTATATTCACCAAACAATAGTGGCAGCCTGAAGGATAGGATTTTGTGTCCAAAGGCGCATTACCTTCACAAACACGAAAAGCTTATTGCTACCCAAGGCTGAACACTTGTGTAAAACTCCTGAATAGTATTTGTGCCTCCATGCACCACCACCACCACCACCACCACCACCACCACCACCACCACTATAACAGCAACCACCACCACCACCACCACCACCACTATAACAGCAACTACCACCATCATTACGATCCCCACCACCACCACTACAACATTACAACCACCACCACTACCACCACTACAACAACAACAACCACCACAGAGCAGCATCTCAGGAACGTTATTGCAGCAGGGTGGGAAAAATATCTTGGTTCAGGTTTCCAGAATAAGACAGAGACAAGAAGGGAAGAAGGAGATAGAAGAGGAAGAAAGAGACAGTCTGGCAAGTTATCTGAAGGTGGTGGTGAGGGATAAGCCTGATGGAGGAGAGGGAGTGGATGGGGAGCTTGTTGACAGGATTGTGATGAGAGGGCTTGTGGGGGAGGAGGGGAGGGTGGGGAGAAGAGGCTAGAGAATGAGGGGAATAGTCACCAGAGAGAGACTTGTATAAACTAAAAGGAGAGAGGTCTACTGAAGTGTCAATAAGAGAGGTAAGGATAACACGAATATATCATACTGTGAGTAGGTGTGGCACAGGGAAAAACAAAAACATATTCCGAAGGTAAACCGGAGGAGGAGAGAAATAATCTACAAAAACACGACGGCCATGAGAGAGAGAGAGAGAGAGAGAGAGAGAGGGAGAGAGAGAGAGAGAGGGAGAGAGAGAGGTTGAGAAGCCAAGACCGTCCACGCCCGCCCTCTCAGTGAAGTTGAAAGTGTTAGTTTGAGAACATTTCTAGTCCGGATTTTGGGAGTTGCCGTGGTGGGTTGTCATGATATGAGCAACACACACACACACACGGTTCCTCAATTCTCACAGCTCATAATATATTTTACGATTTACTGGTTGAATTATGTTCTCCATTAGTTACGTTATAAGCAGCGGACTTATACGATTTGGGAGTTTGATTTAATTAGTGTTCGTCATCTTCTACCTGCTGCTGCTTTCATCTTTCCCCATAAAGGTTAGACAATCAGTAGAAATTAACCTAATCTGTTCCACTTCATTGCTCACTTCTCTGGTAAACTTCTCAACCTTTGGCTATCCATTTGGGCT